AGCAGGACAGAAATAAGCCATCTCTTCAAGAAATGCAAAGAAGAGAGTTGGCACAACAGAAATGCTTGAACTTCAAGACAGAACATACTCCCTGTACTCATGCTATCCCACGTCCTCATTTGGTTTGATTTCACAATGATGTGGAAGATTCATAGAGTATCTTCAAAGAAAGTTGGCAAATACACAGGAACACCAGTTGGCAGTCTGAGGTGAGGTGGTCAGCCCATCTGTTTGATTGCTGCACACATCAGGACACTTCTTTTAACAAATTCCCTGCTGTTGTGGGGAACATGGACATTGCCAATGCCATTGATATTGCAGAGATACTTGTGCCAGGAGCATATTTTTGTGGGGTTTGATATTTTTGCTATACACTTGATATTTTTTTAAGTAGTGCTGGAATATTTTATGTGACTTGTAGATGTGTGAAACTTGGGTGGACCCAGAGTTAATGTTCTGGCAGTAAATTCTGTACTTAATATCTTAATTGTCTGGGATTGTGGGGGATCAGGTCAGTGTCCAGGTAGTTCTTTCCAGGCATATATTTCTGAAGAAAGTAGTTGACACTCCTCAGAGCCTCATAAGATCTCATAAGGTGCAAGAGCAAGAATAACTGATTAAGCTATGTAGCTGATTTCTCTATGAAGCAATTGCAGTTCATCAGTTTTAAGTTATTCCTTCCTCTGATAACATCCAACTCTTTGACTTTGTCTTTTCATCCTGTCCCCTGCACTTCTGTAGAAAGGGAGGAGGGAGTCTTAATAAATGGTGTTCTGACTCCATGTAGCAATCACTGCAGTTCCACTTCTCCTGACGTGTATTTCAGTACATTTTAAAATGTAAGTTTTTAGACTCCTGGACTTCACTATTTGAGTGGTACATATTATACTTTGGGAAGCGGCATTTCTGAAACTATACAGAGAAATGAATAACTGGAAGAATGTTTGCCTTGCTCAGAAGAATTTTGAAAAGCTGTTATGAAAAGCAGGCAGTAATATTCTGCTAATGCTAAATTTATTATTTTGTAATTCTATGTTGCCCAAATATAATTTGAATGAATTTTGATGTCGTTTTCAATGATTTCTTTGTTATTTGATTCAGTTTAAACCCATGAGCAAAAATACACACACACATGCGCATGTGCACAGTCACAAACATAGATCACGTATTATAAGGATAATGCTAGGAAGAGGAAAAGAATTGCAAAACTGAGTGATTGCTTTTGCTTTCTCTACACAAGATTGTACAACTAAGTGGTTCTGTGGCAAAAGGCAGACATGAGAGAACTAAGAAACAGTGACAAGATGAATGGGAGAGATTCAGGCTGGGACAGGAAAATAACAAGATAGGACTCAGACTAGTGTTATAAAAGCTCAGTGTGGTAATCTGTGGGAAGATTTTAAAAGGGAGGGAAAAAACTCCCTATCAAAGTAAGGAAGCAGAATCTGTATGTGCACAATTGCCACCAAATTGAAAAAAAAGATCATTAGGGAGGAAAAGTCCCA